TCCACAAAACATGAAATTTTCACCTGAGTAGGCTGAGATGGCCCAGAGAAACTGCATCTTGAAGATATCGTCAATGTCAAGCCAATCAGGGACCCTGAAAAAGAGGACACGGAGCTGACTGCTGGTCTGGACAGAGGCTGCAGCAGGGGCAGGAGCTTGCCCGGGAGCAAGACAGGGAGCTACAGATGTGCTGATCCTGATGACCTCAAATTGCAAGAGCAGAAAATAAATAAATACATTGCAAGAGCATGGTGCTGAGGCAGGCAGGAGCAGATAACCAGTCCACTCGAGAGAAGCCTACAGGGTCAAAACTCCTTCCATTTGTCTATGAAAGCTCAGTAATATTGATAAGAAGATCTGAAATCTTAGATTTAGCGTGCATTTAATCTGAGGTGCTCAGACATTCCTGGATTGTCCTCTCTGAGAGTCAATTTTCTTTCTCCACTCTCCCTTTTTTTAATGCCCAACTATAGAACATTTCAAACAAAAAATAATTCACTACATATGTAGCCTTCTCTGAGAATAAGCAGATGCTAACATTTTGCCATAAGAGTTTTGGATTGCTATCCTTTTTAAAGAAATAAATGAATGTTAGAGGGCTAAAGACACCCCAGCAAATGTGTTTTCTTCCCTGCATTTCCTGCAGCTCATTGCTATGCTGAAGTCAGTATGTGTCAGTCTGTGCCTGTTTTATTCTTTTACTATGATGAGAGCACGAATTATAAATCTGAATTTTTGATTCAGTCTATAAATCTACAATTTTCATTCACAGTGGTATTTGAGAAAAGCCTTGGGTTGAATGAACATTTTGAAATAAGTGCTTTGAGATGTCAAAGCTTTGTGCTAGGCATTACATGCCTCGGGAAGATAAGAAAGAGAAAGTTAGAAAATATCTGTGCCCTACCAGTCACTGAAGCAAAATAAACAAAAGAAATAGTGCTGGCCAAGAGAAATGAGAATATTACTTAAATCTAAATCTATAGAAGTTTGTCTATTATTTTCCTAAAAGAAAGTGTCTTTCTTCAGTATTAACTGAAAAGGGGGGAAAAAAAAAAGGTCCCTAAGATACACCACAATTAACAACCAAGGTTTGGGTTATCAAAGAATATGACCCCAACATATATGATAGCCACAAATCTTTATTAAAGAAACTTAATTTCTCATCCAAACAACATGTATTTGTAATAAGAATCAAAATTTGCCCATTAAATTGCAAATACACTCGTATAGTTTGTGATTATTCACTCACTACCATACACATAAAGTTTCTCTTGCTTTTCAGAAAGCATCAGACTTCTTGGGTTTGGAGCTACTTGGAAAGGCAGTGGTTTTTTATTTTAAAAAATTTTTAAATCAGTGCTTTCAACAAATTCAACTATAAACACAGTGAAAAAACCTCATGTTTCTCCAGCATATTCATGTAATTTTAGAACTCACATCAGTTTTGCATTCAACTAATATAAAAAAATCACAAAAAACCATTAGGAACAGAAGAGAGATATATGCAGTCTACTAACTAGTTTGTATAGAGTAATGTATCTGGAATATTATCTTTTAAAACTTTTTCTGAAAATATATTTGAATCTATTTTGCTCATTTTATAGCTACTATATATGTATATATATGTATATAGCTATGTGTATATACACACATATATCATAGAAAAAATTTACTCTAGTGATTTTTCCATTTCACTGATAAAGAACACTTAGTGTGTTTCCATTTTTTACTATTTTTTGTTTGTGATGTACTTTCTTAAACATAATAGACAGGTATTAAGTTTTTCTAAGACAGTGAGAAGTACAAATGCTATATAACAAAAGATAAACATCTTAAACTTTACCCTGTGGTTCAAATTACTTTCAAAATGTCTCAATTCGCCAATGAACAAACAGGTATTTTCATTTATATGCATTGTCTCTAATACTAACATTTTTATTAGTGTTTATTAATCAAATGGACAAGAAGTGTCCTTATTCAGTCTGTATTTTTTGATCAATAGTGAAACTATTTTTCTGCTGATTGACACTCCTCTGTGAATTACCTGTCCACTCTCTTTGGACTTCCCAAATGAGTTGATTGTCATTTTCTTTTTTATTTGTATGAGGTCTTCATATATTGTAGGCACTAATCTGTTCTTTATCTGCTTTGCCAATGTCTTCTACCAGTTTGTGGTACATACTTGTATTTTACTTGTAACGTCTTTTGTCACACGGGAGCCATTCTTTGAGCAAACTAAAACTTTAACTAACTGTATGATGAAGCCCATGTATTTACTATGTTATACTTTGTACTATAATTTTCAAGTGAACTTTTTTTTTCTAAGTTTATTGCAAAACACTATACCTCATTTCAGGAGCAGTGGTCTTGTGTTTTCCAAGTCTACTGATTGCATCATTTTCTCTTGTGTTTGGCTTAATTTCACATTGTTTCACTCACCAGAATGCTGGGAACACAGCCTAGGTATGTAGTCCACCATAACACTTAGATTTGTATCAGTATAAACTACAATGTTTACACAATAACAAAATCGCCTGACAAATGTTTTCAGAACTGTTCCTGTTGGCAAGAGAAACATGCCAGTACTGGGAAACTAAAAATATTTGTGGTTACTTGTTGCACCACTTTACCTGAATTTTACCCCTTTGCACCCACATTAAAGGACATGCTAAATGTTACTGTGCACTATGGTTGCAAAGACCTGCTGTCCAGAATCCATGTAACACTGTTGCCTTTTAACAAGCCTTAGCCCCATTGGACCCAATTTTTTATCTCTAATTTTTTATCTCCAATTTCTTCAACTGAATGGAAGTCTTTTGGTGGTAGAGACATACATTTTCATGGGTTGAGGTTATGTTTTATGTCCCTATGGAAGTCCCTATAGGTTTCTGCCTAATATAATTCCCAACAATATCAATTACTCAAATTTATTTATAACTAAAATGGGCACTAGTCTGTGGGGGGAAGGCTTTTAAAGTTAATGCTAACTGATTATTTGATCTACACAAAGGAAATTAATACAATATATTAGAGGGGCTGGGGATTTAGCTCAGTGGTATAAGCACCTGCATGGCAAGTCTAAGGTCTGGATCCAAAAAAAGAATATGCTAGAACAACTCACAGTTATTTAACCGAGCTGATACACAGTTATATCCCAGTCACTTACTTTCAATAAGCTCAGTGAGTATAATAAATGGATCAGAGCAGTCTATCACAATAACAAGAAATGTTTCATGATATCTGTTAGTTACAACAAAAAACTTCAAAATTCAATATAATATTTAAAGAGATTTTTATCATGAAAAATTAAAACTCTGGATAGGTGGATCAGAGGTTTATATTGCAGTTGGGTATAGAAGGTATCTTGCATCTTCCATCTTATTTTTCCCTCATCCTCAAACCAATGTTGTTGACTTGCAGTCAAAATGACTACTCCAGTTCCTGTGTTTATATCTGATCTCAACTAAATGAAGAAAAGGAAGGAAAAGTTGAATGTGTGCTCTTCCCATCTTTAAGGGCATTACCTGGAAATTCTACACAGCTTTAGTCACAATGGTTAGGTCAGTATCTAGCCCTGTTGTCACATCTAGCTGCAACACAGGATAGAAATTTAGTGTTTATCTAGGCAGACATGTTGCTGCCTAAAACTGAAGAATTCTAAAGAAAAAGAAAGAAGCAAATTAAAGGCATCTGCGAACAACTGACAGTTTCTGCAACTGAGACTGTAAGATACCCTTGACCTATACAGTGTTGACATTCACTGCAGGCTATTCAACCACCTAGAATGGGTACACCTGACCTTCATTGTGTACCCATCAGTTACTGTGCTCCTAATGCAGTGATGACTCTGAGTCATTTGAGTATAAAAGCCAGAAAAGATTTTGCCACAAAACTCAGTAGCATTCAATTGTAATCAGTTATTGTTCATGTGTTTGGGAGTCAGTTGGCAGTTAAATATGCTGGGCTAGTCTTGATTAGAAACTAGGGTGATGTTTTCTTCTTCCACATGGCTCTCATCTTCTAGCAGGAGAGGTCAAGCATGTTGCCATGGTGATAGCAAAGGTACAAGAGAGAAACCTAAATACTCAGCCCATTTCAAGTCCCTTATGAAATTATGCCTTTTAACATCCCATTGGCCAAAGTGAGTCACGTGATTGAATCCATTGTCCAGGGATAGAACAAGTCACCTCACTTATGGAGGAAGGGAACTACAATGATGTGAATACAGAGAAGAGTGAATAATTGGTCCATGTCATAGAACTTTTGCTTAGTAAACAAATGAAGTGATAAACACAGGCTGTTTTGTTATGGTAAACTCCTATCTCAGGATGAAATGTATAAATAGTTTTGTCTTAAAAGATAACATGTTCTCATAATAGGGGTAAGTTCATAAACTATCTGGTTAAGGCAAAGCTTTTTACAATACATTACATTTTGGAAAAATGTGAGAAAGTATTACACAACTGGCTGCAAAATACCATAGTTAAGGCTGTGAGAAAAAAATCAATGCAAATAAAAAAAGATTATTAACAATTTTGTAATATAGTTACTGTCTTAATCTTTTTGCTGCTGCTGAGACAAACTACCTGACACCCACAAGTTAAAGGAGGAAAGATATACTTTTGCTCATAGTTTGTAAAGGTTGCTGACCACAGTCAGCTGCCTCCAAGGTAGGGTGGCATGAGAGAGGAGAATGGCAGAGAAGAAACAGTCCATGGCATGGAAGGCAGGAAATAGAAAGTGCCCGCCTTCTTCTTTTCTTTTATGTTTCATCCAGGCTTCAAGCCCACTGGTTGGTGCCCCCCACACCCAGAGTGAGGTATCCTTCTTCATTTAGCTGCACACAGAAAGAACCATGCCAGTCTAATCAGTGGACTAACCCTGTCATCAGACACCCATAATTTAGCCATGTCCCAAAGACCACCTATTTCATAATCATGAGGCTTTGGGGTAACATGGAAATGCAAGTCACAATACTTACAAACACTAGCATTTTTTAAACTTCTGATTGACTATCTTCATTCTCACTTACTCCCTCCAAGGAAAAAGTAAGAATAATCATCAATGGTCAGTAGCAGGTGCAGCAAAGCAACACCAAGAGCCAGTTTCCGGCCCAGGAAGGTACACTATGCTTCTTCCTCTTAGTTTCTGGCACTTTACACAATCCGAGAGATTTCTCTAATACTGAGCTATAGAAATGACCCCTGAATGTGTAGCCTTATCATCATCATTTTGATGTGGTCTGGGCAGTGTGTTCTTGGTTGCATTGCAAGTCAATAACAACAAAGAGAATTACTAAGAAGAAAAACATGAGTTGGATAAATTGATGTAAGTGTACCTTATAAAGCTCAATGTAGATGACAGGATAATAAGTAATTTTTAATAAAACCACTATTGCAGCACAACTTGTAATAGCCAGATCTTGGAAACAACCTAAGTGTCCATCAACTGAGGAATGGATAAAAAAGTTGTGGTATTTTTATACAATGGAGTACTACTCAGCTATAAAGAATGATCACATTGAGACATTTATAAATAAATGAACGCAGCTTGAGACCATACTCATAAGTGAAATAAATCAAACTCACATGTATAAATACTGAATAGTTTCCCTAGTGTAAGAAATAAGAATACATAAAAGTATGTGGTAATCATGATTCCCAATCATATTGGTTTGAAGCCATATAATGTTTTCACTCATTAAATGCAATGGTTTTAATCTGGGTTGTTCAATTTTAGTATCTATGATAGTACAAATAACTATGTTGAAGAAAACAACACAACATAAAAGCTAGTGCTGATTTAATATCATCTTGTTTTGAAGTCCCATCAAGCTGTGGTACATCTGTTTCCAGTGGTTTTAACATGTTGTATCTCACTATATTTCACTGTATGCTATAGTATAAACAAAATTCTTTGTAGGCAAAGAGATAATAAAGAAACCATTGTTCGTTTTCTATTAGCTGGTTCTAAATACGCTGTAATTCTTGCATTCTCTTGAATGGCCTCACACTGTCTTGATATGCTTGATGTTATAGCGTACGAAGTTACACTCAAATAATTCAAGAAAAGAGACACTATGGCAACTACTATTATGTTAGATTATCTGGTGGTGAAACACAATGATACTTGAATGGTTCGGTTCTGCCCTGCCTTGTTCTGTTACAATGTCCTCTCTTATTCAATCTCCCCCCCGCCCCCGCTTTTTTAAATTACTCTATTTCCTCTTATTTTTTTAATTAAGGGAAAACTAAATTAAAAATAGCAGGACATATTATAGTAACTTTCTTGGTTTTCCTATTAGCCTGATTTGAACCCCAGTATTGCTCTCCCCATCTTGTTCTGTCTGATTATTCTATATTCTATTTTGTTTGATAGTATCATTGAGGGTATAGGCAACCACTTTGAAGGCAATAAGATCTACTATGATGCCCATTATGGTTTGACTATTATCCTTTTTTTTTGAAGTCCTGCAAGGTCTTCAGTGGAGGTTTTATTGGTCTTGTTCTGTACTGTTTTGATCAATTCTATTATACCTGATGATACAGACAACTCAATTTAAAAAATAGCAAGAGGCACAATGGTAACCACTTTTGATCACCTGGTATTCTATTTTTGCATCATGTGCTATGCCCACCCTTCTCTTATAACTGACTCTGTTTTGCTTAGTCACATTTGGTTTTATTCTCTTCAAAAAAAGTAATAAAAACCATGGGAGTAATAAAACCCAAAAAGTCTAATTGTTATTGTAAAAAAGAGAGGAAAGGAAGGTGGACTAAGGGATATAACCGCAGGTACGTTTGAGTGTGTAGGATGGAAAGCTATATTACTGAGCTTTTGTTGGATCATTGAACGGAACCGTCTCCAATCTCACTGTATGAATGTCCACTTTATATGCTTTAATTTGGTAATTTGGACAACTGTTCCTGGGAAGATAATATGTAACCTATTAACTGGTGATTTCTTACTGTATATTTTTTTCTTGAAATACTGTATTATTTGTACCCTTTTACTGCTTTGTTTTTTATGTCCTTTCTTTTGTTCTCTTTAAATAAAAAAAAGAAAGAAAAAAAATCTGCTCCAAAAAAATCTGGTCCAATGATGTTACATATAAAAACCCTAAAGACTCCACCAATTAACTTGCTAAATGAGTTCAACAGTTTTAGAAAACAAACAAACATTTTAAAAATTGGTTGCATTTCTATCCACTAACAGTGGAACCGCTAAAAAAAGAAATTAAGAAAATATTTACATTTACCATAGTATTAAAAAATTTTTAAAACAGAAATAAATTTTACCAAAGAGGTGAAAGACTTATATCCTGAAAACAATAAGAAATTGATGAAAGAAACTCAACATGATAGAGATAAATTGAGGCAGAGCTCATATTCACAGACGGGCACTATTCATAGAACTAGCTTTATTATATATATAGCCCAAAGCAATCAACAAATTCAATGCGATATTTATCAGAATTTCAACATTTTTTGTAGATATAAGAAAAGCATGCTAACATTCATGTGTAACCATAAAAGACTTCAAATACTCAAAGAAATCTTGAGAACAAACACTAAAGATAAAGGCATCACATTTACTTATTCTAAATTATGCTATATCACAAGGCTACAGTAATCAAACAGGATGAATCTGGCATGAAAACATCCTAACATCTTGTTTTGAAGACCTGAATCACTTTCATTGCTTTGCTTTGATTGACTTTATTCTGTTGTACTTTGTTTGTTTTTATTCTGTTTTGTGAAAAAAAAAGCATGCTGACAAATGGAGCAGAATAAAAAGCCTAGAAATAAACACATCTATATTGGCCAACTAATATTTGGTAAGAACAACAAGCACATGGCATGAGGAAAAATAGTCTCTTTAGGAAATGATGTTGGAAAACTGCAAAATAGCCAGTTATATATTTAACATGTTATTTTAAAATAGATTAAAGACTTAAATATAAGACATTTATATTTTATATAAATAAAAATTGACAATTGCTATTATTTTTACATGACCCCAAAAGCACAATCAATAAAAAAAAAATCAAAGCCAAAGCTTCTATACAACCAATAATCTACAAAATGAAAAAGGAGCACAAAGAATGGGAGAAAATATTTGGAAATCATATATCTGATAAGGAGCTAATATTTGAAATGTATAAGGAACAAATACAATTCACTACCAAAAACTGCAAATATGTAATACCAAATATGCAAATGGGAAACAGAGGTGTGAAAATATGCTCAACTTCATTAATCATTTATGTAATGGAAATCAATCTCATTTACCAATGCAATACATGACTTTTGATCCGTTGAGAGAACTACTATCAAAAATACCAACACAGGGGCCAGAGATTTAGCTCAGCAGCCTAAACACCTGCCCAGAAAACATGAGGTTGTGATTTCCACCCCTGGTAGATAGATATAGATATAGATATAGATATAGATATAGATATAGATATAGACACAGACACAGACATAGACATAGACATAGACATAAATATATAGATATACATGTACAAAGCAAAGCATGTAGAGAAGAAAAAGAAACTCTTGTATGTACACTATTGATGGAACTGTACACAGATTCAGTCACTGTGGAAAACAATATAGAGGGCCCTCAAAGAATTAAAAGTATCCCATTTTTCCAAAGGAAATGAAATCATCAGTATTAAAGAGATAGCCACACTCTCGAGTTTATTGCAACATTATTCACAATGGCAAAACATGAAACAACCTAAGAGCAAATGGAAGAATAAACACGTGTCTATAATGGAATATTATTTAGCTTTAGAGAAAGAAGGCTGGAGAATGTAGCTCAGTGGTAGAGTTGTTGACTAGTTGGGTTTAATTCTGAGAGAGAAGGGGAGAGAGAGACAGAGAGAGTAACATGGGGAGAACATTATATTAATTCAAGCAACCAGACACAAATAAATACTCTATGATTCACTCATACGTGGAATCTAAAAAGTCAAACTCAAATGTCACAGAATGGAATGGTGGCTCCCAGGGTCTGGAAGGTGGAGGAAATAAAGAGATTTTGGTCAAAAGTACAAATTATCAGTTATTAGTAAGTTCTAAAATCTAATGTATAACAGGATGACTATATTTAATAATATGGTATCATGTACTTGTAATTTGCTAAGACAGTAAATCTTAAGTGTTGCCACCACATACACAAAAAAAGGTAACTGTGCAAGGTGGTGGACATTTTAATTAATTTAATTGTGGCAATCAGTTCACAAACATCACATCACACACCTTAAATATATAGAATTTTTATTTCTCAGTTATACCTCAATAAAGCTGGAATTTTTTTAAAAAATCTGCTTCAATAAACCTTTTGCTCCCACCATTTCTTCCTGGGTCTTTATGATGTCAGTGTCCTCCAGTCGTTAAATTCCATTATCAGCTTTGGCACATTTAATCACTCCTCTTTGATACGTTTATTCCAGTCACCTTATCCAATCCTATGGCTATGTGCCACAGAATGACTTTTATATCTCCAACTCAGACCTCTGAAGCCCAGGTTCCTTTAGCTAACTGTGTACAAAACATTTCTATTTATATATATTAAAGCCTTTTCAAATTTCACATGTACAAAGCCACGCTCTTAATCTTTCCATCCAGACCTGTAGAACTCCCATCTCAACTGACAGTTACATGCTTGCAGATGTCCTTGTCAAAACGTCAGTCGTCCTTGACTTCTTTTTCACTTCACAGCTTTCCTACCCACTTTATGAGGAAAATTTGTCTTCCTTATACTTTCCAAAACTCTCAGTGGACACCTGATCTCCAATAGTGTCAAGCTTTCTGTGCACTTTTTCCTGTACATACTGACCTGCAATAAAGATTAATTCATAAATCAGACATGATAAGAGACTAACAACAGAGAATAATAAAACAAAACAATAATAACCACACGATAATGAAAATTAAAATGTGTGAGTTGTTTGTTTCTGGGATTTTCCATTTGATATTTTCTGAACACACTTGACCGTGGGTAGCTGAATCTACAGAAATCAAAAGCATGCATAAGGGCAAACTACTGCAGAACATATGCAGAGGTCTGTCATTTATCCTCACCATATGCAATGCTGTCACCTTCTCTAAGCACCATCTCTTACCTGAATTACTGTGGTAGCATCCTTACCAGTCAATCTACATGCTTCCTCTCTTCCATTCTACAGCCTGTTCTTAGCAGAGATCCTTTTA